ATATGTTGGCAGGGGGTCGAGGCAGGGCAGAGCGTGTGCAGCAAAAAAAACATTCGATCGCATGGGTTGCTCATGCTGGTGGCGAGGGGTGTGATGCTGCGCTTGCAAACGCGCTCGTCCACGCGTGTGCGCGGGCGCACACACTGACGCCCAAACACACACTCACAAGCACGCACTCACACACACACACATACTCACATACACACACAAGGCGTTGGCCCCACCCACATCACCACCGAAACCCTCATCGCCGCCGCCCACCTGACCACGTGTTCCACCTTGAACCCGCGCCCCACGCCCTGCGCCGCCCCGTTGTAGTCCGTCAGCACCGACGGCTGCGCCACCAGCGCGCGGCCAAACTGGGCAGGCGGGCTCTGGGGCGACCCAGGGGAGACGGGGCCCGGGGCCGCGGGCGGCGACCCCGGGGCGTCGGGCGCACCTGGCAGGTGCAGAATTGAGGAGGCGTGGGGGTGGGGGTGTGAGGGGGGGGCGCGCGGGTCATGTAGGTGCCTCAGAAGGTTGTGTGCAGCAGGTGAGCAGGCGGCGCAGGGCGGGCGTGGGGGCGGCGGGTCAGCAGTCGCTTTGCGAACAGGGGACGGTGGCTGGTTGGTCCGCCTTCGGAAGGAGGCAGAGCCGGGGGGAGGCGGGGCCCTTACCCTGCTCCTCGTCGTCGGTCGTGGTGCGCACCACCACTGTGTTGAGGGAGCCTGCCACGTTGGTGTGTTTGGGGATAGTGGGGATACATGTGTAAATTGGGCCCGGGAAGAAGCAAAGGATCGCGCTGGGCTGCGAGACAAGAGCATGCGGCGCACCGGCAGCTGCCAGCCAACTCGGGCTGATTGCGGGGCGGAGGTCAATCCGTATCGGATCAGGTCAAACCCCAAGTGATATCTGATTGTGGTCAGGCTGGACACCCCTACTATAAAGGCTTGGGGCCTTGAAGATATGTCAAGGCTCTGCATGTGCTCTGCACCCGAGATCTGCAGTTCTGGCGTCAGGGATCTGCCTGCCCGCTCACCAAACATGTTGTGGACGGACCCCATCACCTCCTGGTACACGCCTGGGGTTTTGAAATGGGAGGGGGAGCATGTGTGCGTGTGCGCGCACGTGTGTGTGTGTGTGTGTGTGTGTGTGTGTGTGTGTGTGTGTGTGTGTGTGTGTGTGTGCGTGTGTGTCTCTGTGCGCGCGCGCTCGCGCATGCCTGTGGGCGCTCGCAAATTGTCCGTCCTCCGCCCCCCAAGCGTCAAACCTGTCCCCGCACAGTCTACTTGTGCTCACCCGTCATGAACATGGCAAGGTAGTACTTTTCGTCTGCCTTGACCTCGTGGAGGGGCAGGGCGGGCAGGG